AATCCATATATCGCGTGCAGTGGGTTATTCACTACATTTTTACTCACCATGTGGCTAAAAATGTTGGACATACGCTCCGAAGGTATTTTCTTGCCTTTACAGCCAGGGTTACCATTTTCTTTAGTCTCTGAGACTCTCTACGAAATTTGAAGGGTTCCGCACCATGTGGTTCCAACCAATACTATTGGTTCAAACTAACCCACTAGCTCTGAATTTACCCGCTCAGTTAAAACCAGTTAAGCAACCCCATAGTGTTTATTATTTCATTCTTTCATATTACGCCATGGGGACTTAACCATACAAGTGAGGACTAGTTTAACAACTACCGTGGGTCTATTATTTATTTCTTTAATATTATGATACGTGAACTTTATCATATAAGTTTAACAACTACATACAGTTTGTTATTTTCTCCTTTAATATCATGACATGGAAATTTTACCATATTAGGCTATAACAATCAATTACCTGCCTAAATGCTAAACTCCCGTTCAAAGCCAAGGTTACTCTCCACTTAGACTTTGTTTAATATTTAGTTCTGGTCTATTATGCTCCTCAACCTATTAGGACGATTGAAATTTTTCATAAACAACTCATTCGTCTAGGATAAATGTTATTAAGCATCTTTCGTTATAGGAAATTTAGCAGGTTGACCTCAATAACTTTGATCTTAAGGGCCTTAGATCTCATCTTAATCCCATTATCATCCTGTTTAGCACAGTAACCCCTATTAATCTTGACACATTTGCGAAACCCTGACCTGCTGTCCAGCCTACCCGTATGCTTTATAATACTTCAAGAAACATCTTCATAGTGTAATGAATACACATGACACATACATATATACCCGACATTTGAACTGAGCTAACTTATATGAAAAAGTAATTACTCTTAATATGCCTTTAACTACTCACTTACCTGAGAGATGTCAAGCGGTGCGTGGCAATGGATGGATTTACGGAAGCACCTGGGCTCTGATACCAAACTGTAACGACCGTCCCCAAAACGGCCATTACGATACTCAAACATAAAAGAGTCTCGATAAATCAAGCGGAAATAAAGATACAGAGCCTCGATATGAGACTTTATTCCTTTTAGAACAAAATCAAACCTTACAACCATAACGAAATGCATCCAAAATAAAACATCTGTAAAACCATTACACCTGATCAGGATTGTAAAAATTTTTAACAACCCTTTGAAGTACCAACGTACTAAAACCACAACATAACTGATAGCCCGATCTTCTCCGTTAACCCATCCAAAACCTTGTCACCGACTCCATACATTCTCTCAGGTTTCCGTACCTCATTCATTACCTATACATGAGGATACTAGAAAATAGAAGTCTCTAAGGAATAATGCTTAGTAAGTCACCATTTCATCCACTAAAAACGTTTAGGGAATAGCTAGCCTTAATTAGATACATGAGCTTGAATATTCCATACACATAGCATATTCACACACATATTCATATCACGTAAAACACAACATCATGTAACGAAATCTAAAAGATTTCCTCATTCATCATTCTTTCTTCCTATCTTATTACTTGACTTGATGGACCCGTAGCTCGTATCCTGGCCCCTCGCTAATGACCTTGGGTAGCTAGCCCTTAGCCATCAGAAGTAATCCCGGGACTCCCCGCGGAAAGAGATCCCGCTCCGTTCAGCTCAGGTGATTACTTGGGGGAACGGCTACCTTAAAACATTTCTTATCATTCATTAGATATCATTACCGTCACAACTTTCATTCATTGTTGGAGTCCATATAAATCCAATCTAACATTAACCACAGAACTTGGATACCTTACATTGATAACTCAACAAGTTCTCAATCAACATCACCTATAAATATATGCACATAACAGGGCATTCACATAATCTCATACCTTACAAATTCAAACATTCAAGCAAACCTATCCAGTTCATAGGTAGCTAGACTTCCATATTTCATTTCAAACTATCATGTATAGGTGGTGATGACTTACCTGGTTCACGCGGAGTATTTGCCCTTGTGTGTGCGTGTACGGTGTCCACGAGCAACGGTTCTTCGATGAGCAACTATAATTATAAATACACAAGCTTATACTTGATCAAACTTAAATTCATGTCTTTAGAAAATCCTTAGACTTAAGGTGAGGGAAAGTTCACAAATCAGCCCCTACAAGTTACAAAACTCCCCCTTTTCCTACAACAAATCGGGCATAGATTCGGGATGGCTAGATAACTAAGAATCCGATTGAATTTCATGAATCAAGACTCGTCATCTATTAACTCCCTCTCATAATATCAAGGACTCCATGTATCTGTTTAGAATCAGCGACTGATCATTAAAATACTTCCCAAATTCTTTCATTAAATTGGGTATAATTTTGGGGTAGCTAAATACTTAAAACTTCACAAGGTTTTTCAATCAAGAATGAACAGCAACTCCATAACAACCTTATCATTAAGAAAATACATTAATTTTCCTAGCATTAACTCTAAATCAACCAATCCTAATAAAATCCTCAACCAAGAACTATACATACTAAGAAAATTCCCGATTTTTTTTATCAATTTGACATAGTTTTGGGACAGCTAGTTATTCAAGAATATATTTAAAACTTGTTAAACCAAGGATAAACAACCACTTTATAACACTCCTATCATCCATAAAATCCATTAATTTCTTAGAACCAACCCAAAATTAACCATATATGTAGAAATCCCCAACAATAAGAACTAAAACCGAAGTATGAATGAATTACTCTATGTAAAGTGAGAAACATACCAATTGATGATATTTGATGAAAAGTATGTTTAATTTTGAGCTTGAATCACTTGGAGAAGGTTTTGGTGCTGGTTTACCGAGAGATGGACGAGCAAGGTCAAAATTTGGGGTCAAAAGGGTTTTTTCTCCGTTAAATATGCGTTTTACACCAACTGGCCAAAATCGCTCCGACCGGCACCGGTCAGGGCCCAACCGGCGCCGGTTGCCCTGCCTTTCCACCGCCGTAAGGTTCTGTTTTGGACCAGCGCCGGTCCGGGTCGGACCGGCGCCGGTCCAGGGTTCCCCCGGTGCCAAAAACGTCCTTTTTCGCCCTAAACCGACCCCGATTGTTGCCGATCCCATCCTAGACCCCCGATGACATTTTAAACTATATTTTAAACACCCCAATACCATCTAGCATGACAAATAACTTGATATACCATTACATTCAAAAATACGAATAATTATTACGATGTAGTTTCGTTGCTCATCGGATACCGTCGTCTGTCATGATAAAACATATTTCAAGTATATAACTCAAGTACAATTATCACCAAGATCATAATCACATGATATCCATATAATTCACATATACAACATTCAAACGATAAGTTAAAACATGATCATATATAATTAATTAGCACATAAGGAGTCGATAAAAAGTACGGGCGTTACGGACAATGTCCAAGTAAAGTAAGCCTAAGAGTTACAATTCTTATGCCTCTTTCATTTGAGGTGCTTCTGGGCCAAATTGTTTGATGAAATTTTATGAGGATGTTCTCCATTAATTGTAGATCATGTCCACCAAGTTTCACAATAAAATTCAATCGGGAAATCAGTTAAATAAATTAATGAAAAAACTGCATTGTATATATGTATAAACCTGCGCAATTTTGAAAAAATATTTAACCGACTTCTCAATTAAATTTTAATACTCCCTCCGTCCCGCTAACAATGGGACAAGAGGGAGTGACACACAAATTAATAAAAAGTTGTTTATGTGGTTGATATTGAATTGATAAAGTAAGAATAAAGTAAGAATGATTTAGAGCCACACAAACTTTACCAAATTTGGTATGAGACAATTTTAGTGGGACGGACCGATAAGGTAAAATGAGACAATCATAGCGGGACGGAGGTAGTATGAAATATGGTGGACATGGTATACACTTCATGGAGAACATGCTCACAAAATTTCATAAAAGAGTTCAACCCGGAAGCGCCTCAGATGAAAGAGGCCTAAGATTATAACTTTTAGACCTACCTTACAAGAACATTTTCCTATCTGAGTAATTTACTATGCCAAATTCTAATTATTTGTAACATCTCAAGATTATATACCATTGTCCCTAAAGATTGATGTACATGCATGCATGCACTCATTAACAAAAACACAAAAGGAGAAAAAGTTTTGAAATGAGCAAAGAAAAACAGCTTTGTATAAATTTTGACCCCTTAGTATTAACATTGAACTTAAGGCACATATGTCATATAAATTCAATGCTACTTTTCAACCGATCAAGAAGACAATATTTCAACATAAACTAATAAAAAACTTCGATCATATTCATGAATGGTTCAAAGTTTACCAAATAATTCAAAACTTCACACAATTTATCAATTTCAAATCTCATAAATTCAAGTATTGAGACACTCGCAATAGTAGAATACATAAAGCCAAATTATTTTAATTGAGAGGCTGCCAAACATGAGATGGTGCGCAAGTGGGAAGTTTACTACATAATTAAAACTCAGCTCAATCTTATGAGACTAATTTTCAACCAAATATAAATTTTCTCAAAAAATATTCCAAATTCTTTCAATCTGCATTGTTACGACTTACGATTGATAATCAAGGGCATAAGCACTTAATTGTTGTCTCCATGGAGTAGTATTTACTAAAAATCCCATAATTCTTATTTTAAAAAAACATATTAACTTCCATAAATTTCTCTTGTTAACCGGTGATTTTGGTGGTTAAAAAAACAAATGACAGTGCAGGGGCGGATCCAGGAAAGTCATTTTGGAGGGCGAAAATATTTTTGGGGGGTTCAAAATACTTTTTGGAAGAGCAAAAATTATTTTTCGTATATATATACACTAAAAAAAAATTGTTGGGGGGCGGTAGCCCCCATGGGTCTCTACTACTGTCCGTCCATGGTTCAGTGGTCCAACATATCAAAAAGAATAATGATAATTGTTCTTAAATAAATTTCTTAATTTCTATTCAGGATGCTTTAGCTAGTTAAATTCCACTTTCGACTTTCCATAAGAGAAATTACCAATTGCTTTCTTTGGAAAATATAATACGAATTCTCAAAGGTAAAGAGAATAATCACAAAATCGGCGCGACTGAACCGAAACAAATACGCAGAGAGACGATGAGAGAGAGCGCCGGAGTTGTATCGGAGGCAGGGCAGCGCCAATTACCCAGTACCGACGTTAACTGCAGCGGTAACAATAACCACAGTCGAATCTCTCATGCCCCACCGCCGACTGATCGCCCCGTTCGCGTGTATGCCGACGGGATCTACGATCTCTTCCATTTTGGTCATGCTCGCTCCCTTGAGCAAGCTAAAAAAACGTGCGCCTCTTCATTTTTTCATTTAATATGGTCACGCATCTCCCTCTGTTTGTTGTTAATCATTACCTCATTCACTAATCACGCGCGAATACAATCATGAACTTGATGCTCGTAGCTTTTCCAACACGTACTTGCTGGTGGGATGTTGCAGCGATGCTGTCACGCACAAATTCAAGGGTAAAACTGTTATGACCGAGGAGGAGCGCTATGAATCCCTCCGCCATTGCAAGTAAGATCTTAATTATATAGAAGATTTTGTTTGCTTTACCTTTATACAAAAGTCAACCGTAGAGTTGAGTTTCAAGTTTCGACCACTTCTCCATATGCTCATATGCATTATGATCTGTCAGAAACTTGGAATGAAACCGACTGTTACATCATCTGAATGTCACTATTGATTCTGATTGCTGGATCGTATTCTTCGTGGATAAAATCGTATGTACGCTAAAATACCTTGCTTCTTTGATCTTTAGGTGGGTGGATGAAGTTATTCCCGATGCCCCATGGGTGATAAATCAAGAATTCCTAGACAAGCATCGAATTGACTTTGTGGCACATGATGCTCTTCCGTAAGACTTCTTTCGTTTTTTTCCATTTCAGTTGATGTTCTTATCAGTGTAGTAGATTTCAAATTTATTTTCACGTCCATCTTAACTGCGCTGTTTATATACCTTTATAAACTTCCTGAGATCTTGGTATTTTAACATCTTACAGTTATGCTGATGCTAGTGGAGCAGGAAAGGATGTCTATGAATTTGTATGTGTCTTCCTACGCAGATAATTGTAGTGTTTACATTATTGTATTTTCAAGTGTATCAAATAAGGAGGGATCGAAGTTGCAACCTGTCCTGAACTCTATGTTTCTACAAGGTGATGTGTATCAGATTTTTTAATGTAGATTTGTTGCTTCAACAGGTCAAAGCTGTTGGTAGATTTAAAGAAACAAAACGTACTGAAGGAATTTCTACTTCTGACATTATTATGAGGATAGTTAAAGACTATAACCAGTATGTCATCCGCAATTTGGATCGTGGATATTCAAGAAAAGAACTCGGGGTCAGCTATGTTAAGGCACGACCCTTTTGTGCTTTGTATTACTGCATTGTTTCATTCCATTAAATAGACATCATCTAGGAATATATGTTTTATTCAATGGTTTTCTTCTCTTTTTCTTTTTTTCTTTTGCTTTCTGCAAGAACTGAGAAGTAATTGTTTGTGGGAGCAGGAAAAACGCCTTAGAGTGAACATGAGATTGAAAAAGTTACAGGAGAAGGTTAAGGAACACCAAGAGAAAGTTGGAGAAAAGGTATAATTCTATAGAGCTAATTTCCTACATATGCACTACAGGTGTCTATTTTACTTTTACATGGCATATAACCATAAGTTCTCTTTGTTCCATGCATTTTATGTTAATAAGGATGTGGGGAATAGATTAGGGCTGAAACCGTCTCTTTATCGTTTCTCTCACCTTCAATATTTTCTACCATATGAAATCACCATTTTTTAAGGATGTGTACCCTTCCCCTGAAAGTTTATGAGATGTGATCTGACCTAAGCTTTTATGATGTGGTCTGGTGTGAATCTTTCTAGTCCCATTTGGTCCGGGTGTTTTGTGTCTAGTTTGATCTAAATTGTTCTAATCTTGTCTAATTGTATCTTTACGTATGAGTGGTGATGGTTTTAATGCGTCAGCTCAAACCCCCCCTGATGATATACAATTTTTACGCATTAGCAAATTAGCTCATGTAAGTCCCTTGTGTTATGAATACACATTATTCATTGGAAGAACAAATTTACTAATTGCTAAAACAAACTTCTTTGTAGTTATAGTACTTAAGTATCTACATAATTTACCTGCATGATTAATCATAAAGATAATGCCATGTGTTTTCATGGCAATTAATTTTGTCGTTCCAGGGTATTGCTTTTTTTGAATAACAAGATGAGTTTTTAACTTTTGACACTTTTTTTATATGAGGGTCTGATGCACAGAATATGGCATTACTTATCATTGTGAAGTCCTGGGCATTAAACCCGAGTCTCAAACATAATTTTCTTTCATGAAACATGGTTTTATTTTACTAATTCTACAACTTACAAGTATGTCTCTAATTTACAACTTGTATCTTTAAATTGAAAAATTATGTTGGTAACATCACTATCCTTTCTTTACCTTGGGGTGGATGTATAAGAGAATCTCCATTATCTGCATTGTCACCATCATCATCATATTATGGTGTTCTCCATGTAATAGTGTTTGCTGACTAAGCTTATAAATGAATTGGGATTTCTTTTCAGATTCAAATTGTTGCAAAAACAGCTGGTATGCATCGCAATGAATGGATTGAAAATGCTGACCGGTTGGTTGCTGGTTTTCTTGAAATGTTTGAAGAGGGTTGTCATAAAATGGTATATGCAGAATTCATGCAAAATGTGTCCCCAAATTCTGTGTTTAATTTCACATGGGTAATTGGTATCGTAAAACCTGTTTCTATTACTCCTATTTTTGTATTCATCAGGGAACAGCCATAAGGGATAGAATTCAAGAACGATTAAGAGGTCAGCACCAGAGGGATCTGCTAGAAAATGGGAATGGAGAAGAAGAAGATGATTACTATTATGATGATGAGGAAGAGGATGAAGAATATTTTGACGAAGATTATAATGAGGACTACAAGCAATAACAGTTCACACCAGAATTTTTATGTTGTGGTCTAATGTGCCATGTTGTATTATTGATGTGTAATCCAGTCATTGCAGAAGGGTATTCTAATCATGAATGCAGATTTTGGAGAGTTTATGTATCTTTTTTTATTTACAGGCGCTGTATAATCATAGTGGAAAAGAGTTTCTAAAACTCTCTCCATGTATGTCAATGTTTTTTCCCTCATAAGTGCACTGCTGAAATGTGTGCGTATTATCTTACAGTTACAGTCTTACCGAGGCAAAGCCAGCTTTAATACCTCAACAATGCTTGATGTACCTTATACTCACCATGTTTGTGAAGCTTTTTTTGTCTATATTTTGTTTGTGCAAAATATTGTCTGTGCATCGATGTTCACAGACACAAAAAAACCTTTCACAAACATGGGTGGGTACAAAAGTGGGTATAAGAGCGGGTACAAACATCATTTTCACAAACATGTGCTTTGACTAAATTTTCACATACTTCGTATATCAGATCTTCAAGTCAAGTTATGTTTATACAATTGCTTCACATTTCACATCTAGGGGTGGACTCGGGCCGGGTGCATTATAATCGAACCACCATTTTTTGTTGCGGGCTCCGGGTGTCCAGAAAGTGAACTGGTTGGGCCGGGCCGGGACGCCAGGTCGAGTCCGGGCAAATTTTTATTTTTTAATTTTTCACAATCTTTGGGAGGTAAATGGGTTGGGCTGGGTGTTTTGGAGGGGCGTGGGGTGTGAGGGGTAGGAAGTAATTAGAAAATAAAAAAAAAATCAGGTCAACCGGCTTGAGCCAGACTTGTACCCGGTAGCTACCCGGGCCGGTTCCGGGCCTCAAGAAACCAAAAAAAAGCCCGATCAGGTCCGGACCAGCCCGAGTCCATGCCTATTCACATCACTATTTCATCAGCTGTTAAAATTTTAATTGTTTAATTACAATATTTTGATTCATCGTTTATTCATATTTTAATTGTTTGATTGCAATATTTTGATTGACCATATGAAAAAGTTATGGTACTTTATATGACCATATAATTTGCCTTGTTATCATTCCTTCACAAGTTTTCCGTTTAAATGATTTTTTTGTGCTTACTTGGCATTAGTTATGGACTCGGTCCGGTCCTGACCCGGGATTGGTCGGTCTCTTGTCTAGGACCGGTCGGTCCCGATTCTGAAATAGTGAAGACTGGTATTGATCTGGTTTGGTCTGGTACCAGTTTTGATCTGGATACCCGGACGGGTCCAGATTGGTCCCGGGTCGGGTTGAATTTATTTTTATTTTAAATTACCTGATTTATACCACAAATGATAGAAATTAAAATTGAAATATAGATTTATTTGAAATATGAATTACAATTGAGGATTGAGAATAATTTAAAATATCAAATACATTTGCTAATTGTCATAATTCCCGCCAGCGTCCCCAAGCTAAATACTTTCTTACCATGTTTGCTAGTTGCATACCACTTCCCATTGGTCGGGTTCTTGACCTTATCAAAATGATGTACAAAAAGAAGATATATGGTTTTTTTATCGGGTTGGGATGGACCGGCGGCTTCTTTCGCCTCCTCGTCGGGGGTTTCCTCATTGCCTTGTTCCTCTTTGGCTGTCATCTACTCTTCTTCCTTGTCGTCATTCTCGAGCTCGAACTCGGCCGAGGTCGGGTCTAAAATTCGACTCTTAGATATCGAGATAAGGCCAAAATTAAATTGCGTCTGAGACCGAGCTAGACCCCGCCGAGGTCTACGTCAGATCCAGTGTCTTGACAAAGCCAAGAGTCAACGGACACTTCACGAAGTCAACGCAACCGAGAAAGCATCACCACTTTGCATATAGTGAACTGAGGTTACTCTCCTCCATACAACTACGCTACATTCGAGTTCAACCTCACCTAATGAGCTTGGGACCTCGTAAGAAGATTGTGGACTTAGACGTTTCAACACTCAAATGCCACACGTAATTGTGGCTAAGTCGCCTACATGACAATTGTCCAATGCTTACATCACTTAGGCGGTTCCATATAGAATGTTCCAGATTGCACACGTGTTGCCTGAAAACGTTGATAGAAACCGTTGACAAATGTCTACTTAAATCAGGGGAGAGTTTCCTAATAGAATCTACAAATGCTAACACCGGCATTGGGTTGACATTCGTGGTAGCAACTAAGCGATACGAACTTATCATCTCTGTGCCTAGGCATGCATCGGGTCCGGGCCGGGCCGGTTCAAGCCGAAACCGGCCCGGATTGATATCGGGTCCGTGCCAAACCGGACCAGGCCGGTCCGGACCCGGTTCAAGGAATTTTTTTTGGCTTTGTAATTAACCCCTGACCCCCCTTCCTCACCCCCAAACCCCCGGCCCCCAAAACACCCAACCCTACCCAAGAAAAAGAAAAAAAATGAAAAAACAAAAAAATGAACTGACCCCAGCCCGGGCCGCCCGGGCCGATCCATGAAAATCAAGGCCTGAACCCGGCCCGCAAGACCTGCCCAAACTGGGCTAAAGCCCAGAACCGGTCATCTGGGCCCGCACCGTAGAGGGCCGGTCCGGTTCCCAGGCCGGTTCGAACCGGTTGGGTCCATCCCTATCTGTGCCTGCTTCCACAAGGCACACCTACACTAGTGTCAATGTGAGTGACATATAGGTCATGAAGAAATAATAAGAAGCAAAGCCAAATAGTATAATAAATAAATGTAGTAAATTGGAATAATAGATTGAATTGAATATTTGTTGTGATACTCTTATACATTATTTTATGTTTCTTTTTTATGTACCACATGTATTGCATTTTGTTGAATTGTGTTGTTTTTTGTTGTATACTATTACTTTTTTCTATTGCTTTTTGTTGCATTGTGTTTCTTATGATTGTTTATTGTTGATCTTGATTTCTGCAGTATATTTAGATTTCTATTTATTTTTCTACATCTTTCAAATAGAAATATCTATATAGATCTAGTCTATATCATTTAGATACAAGCACCTAAAATGTTAAATTTCGATTTTTGAATATGAAAAGCAACTTGATAACACAAGAAACAATATTAAACAAAAAATTCAGAATTATCAACAAAAGGAAACACAAAGAAATCATAAGAAACAAAAATGAACAATAAAGTGATAATACTAATAATTAAAATTTTAAGTAAATTAAGAAAAAGTACATTAGAAATTTCATATTTTTCAGTATGTAATTATTTTTAAAGTTCATCATTTTAAATTTTCATATTTTAATTCTATGAGTTTGTTTTAATTTTACACACTTTTAAGTTTCAGTAATTTTCTTTGTTTTTATGATTTTATTTTATATATTTTGCTAGAAAATACTCCGTATTATGTAATGTTTTTTTTATATTATTTTTTATTAAAATTTTTATATTCTCTGTTATTAAACTTTTATATATTTATTTTAATTTTTATAATTTTATCTAGTTTTTATTCTAAAACGTTTACTCGCTCTAATTTTTTAGACTATTTTCGTTTTTTTAATATTTTAAATTTTTTAATTTTTTTTTAGAAAGTTTAAGATTCTAATTTGTATAATTTAATTTATGTCCTTTCATTTTTGTGAAATTTATATTTCTTGCTTTTTATATAATTTTATATTTATATATTTTGCTTTATTCAATAATTCAACAAAAATTTATTTTGTAAATTATGGAGTACAAAAAGCTTCTAAAAAGTAACATTACAAAACTTGTTATTTTTGTATGATTTTCCCACGTTTTATCTATTTTCAATCTTTTTTAATTTTCATTTTTCTATTTAGAAACAAAAATTGAGTGATTGGTGAAGTTTTTATTAATTTATCTTTTGAGAGAAGTCACTCATTAGACTACCCACACGCTCTGCACTTAGGGAATTCGAAGAACAGAACCAACCATTCCAACTCACTGGGTGGAAGGTTACCGTGTCCTAGCGGAGGTCTCGGGTTTGAATCCTGCTAGGCACATTCAGGGGAGAGGAGGGAGGTTTTGCTCCTAATGATTCTTCCTACCTTCACGAAGTTGCTCAGCGGCTTAGAAGGGAAAGGATGGTAATGAAGGTAGCGGGTTCATGTGGTGGGAGGAGCAACCTGAAAGGTGATGTAAGTCCTACTTGATTCGTCCTTTGGAGCCAGTACTGGCGAGGCTGACTGTGATCAGATCCGAATTAATTGTCTAGGGGCTTTGGAGGGTAGTTCATAGACTTCAGGATTATAGGAGCGTAAGCTCCAATACCTGGATTATCAAAAAAAAGGAATTCGAAGAACAATACGGGTAGTAGAAAATTAGGTGGGCTTGATGCCTCATACGTCGTACTCTGTATAGTCTATTTTTGAAAAAAAAAGTATTAACTAGTCTACTTTTCAAAGAAAAATTGAAAAGTTAAAAAAGTGATATGACTTTCACTTTTGAGGCTAGTTGTGAAAAATTCCCTAATAACTTTGTGTAGTCAGCCTATTAAGGACTCATTATTGTAATCTGGTTTTCCACACTCAAGACTTGGAAACTCAATTCACATTTCCTCTATAATCACTTTTCTCTAAAATGATACTCTATCAGGGACATAGTCCGATATAATCTAAAATGGGATGCAAAGACAAATTTTCCCTTTATTAGGGCATTCCCATCCATGGGATTATTTAGAGATTTTTTTGATGATGTGGATGATATTTTTTGAAATTATGGATGAGATGTTAGGATTATTTGAAGAGATTATTTGATAAAAAATTAAATCTGCTATAAAAAAATTTGAAGATTATTTTCAACTTTTAGTCTCATCTTCCCATTTTCTAGGCATACTCATAATTAAAGTGATGACTAGGCTTACTCCAAACGACGAAATTTTTTAACTGCATGCACTACGATTTGTAGATACTGTAATTAAAAGTACTATCCATTTATAATTAAAAGCACTATCCGTTTGTTTTTTTTATCATAGCACTATCTGTACAATAAATTTATATACAAGGTACTAAATGTATATAAAAAAAAGTGTACCTAATAATTGTATATAATATAATTCTTTTTAACTTTATAGTGTAAATTATTTTACATACAAGGTACTAAATGTTCAACCTAAAAGGTATGCAGTGTACATATATAATGACGTTCCATTTTTTTGAAAGGTATAATTTTTTATATATATAATGGTGTACGTACTAAATGTATATACTAAATATATTGTGTCGATATGGAGTGCATGTGAGTGTGTGAGTGCATGTCTCATAAAAACCTACGTAAATTAAGATCATAGATGAAGAGAAATTGATAGGTTTAGAAATTATTTGAGATTTTCTTATGTGAAAGTGACATGACAATAATAAGCCATAAAAAACCGTAAAATTGAGTATGATGAATGGAGATGCTCTTAGTTGTTATTAATAATATGTAGGTACTCATTATTTTATGTATATTACATCTATCCCTGAATTATCTCTAAATTTTCCGTTTTCCTTTTCTAAAATAATCTTTTACTTCTCTTTTTGGCAAAAAAAAATTGTAGTTCACATTATTTCTTACATATTCAAACGCATTTCTCTATGCTTTGCACAACCCTCCACCAAACGATTCATATTTTCTTAATTCCATTGCAAAAACTCACTTTAGAAGATAGTTTAGGAACGATGAACTGGACAAGGTGTAGTGGAACTCGGTGAGGTTTTGTGTTGTGCTAACAAGACACCTTTGGATTGAGACAAAAAGGAGTAGTGTGATATTTAAGAAAATTGTGATTATGTAATAAATTGTGTTATATACTACGTACTATTTTCACTCTGTAAAATGTAAATAAAGTGAAAATAATTATAACCGCTGAATAATTACTAAATAAGGTACTACATCCGTTCTATTAACATTGAGATATGAGGAAGTGATATGATTACTCTGTATTAAAAAAGTGTGTTGACATTGAATTAGTGAAATAAGAACAAAACAAGAATGCTTTAAAATTACTCAAATTTTACTAAATTTAGTACTACGTATGAGAAAATCTTTGACATTATCTAGAATGAAAATATTGAAACAATTTATGTGAAAGAAAACACCCAAAAAGATGAAACAAAGATAGGGGGAGGAGTATATAACGTAACGCCCATAAGCTAGCAATGTTGTGTGTGCCTGGATCGGCTCTATTCATGGACCGTCATAATTACTCGATGCCGCTACTTGCCCTGCTTTTGCTTCTGTCTACCACCCCATGTATCGCTAAGAAGCGGCCGCCGTGCAATTTCCCGGCGATATTCAACTTTGGTGACTCGAATTCCGACACCGGCGGTCTGTCAGCAGCCTTTGGTCAGGCAGGACCGCCGCATGGACAGACGTATTTCCATCATCCTGCCGGAAGATACTGTGATGGCCGTTTGAAGATTGATTTTATAGGTAAATAAATAAATGCATTTACTCTTCTCATGTTTAACACGGAATATAATTAGTACTATATGTATCTCATTAATTTTCAATTTTATGGTTCAATTATATTGAGGATATGTTATTGAGGAAAATAGTTTCACAAAAAATTATAGAAATTACTCCAAATATGACTAAAACTATGGCAAAAATTCAAAATAGGATTTATTGTGTTTTTCTTTTCAAAATAGGATCATATTAGTCCTATTAGAAACATACCTATTTTTTCTTTCAAATCTTACCCTTCCTTTAAACATGAGTTAATTAAATATTTAATTAATAATAAATTCCAAAAAATTCAAAAAAATCGTAGAAAAATAGTTAAAAAGTTTATAAAATATTTATAAAATAATTTTTTTTTTTAATTTTTGTTTTAAAATTAATAAAAAATAGTAAAACTCCATAAAAAAATTTAAAAAATATGGATGCTTTTCCCACCGCCTGTACTACCTCCCTGCACCACCATCTCCGACCGGTGAAAAAGATGTCATTTTTGCTGAAAATGTCAAAAACATGCCATATTTCTCTTTGAGAATTCCAACATTTTCATTGTTTTCTACCAAAAATATGACATTCTTAATGAACTTGGTATTTTTTTCCCTAGTGACTGGAGGTGGTGGTGCAGAGGCGGCATTGAATTTTATTTTATTTTTTTGAGTTTTTTATTATTTTATTTTTTTTTTAATTTTTGAAAAAATATAAATAATTTTTTATTATCAAAATATTTTTATTAATTTTTTGGTATTTTTTATGAATTTTTATTATTTTTTATTATTTTATTATGAATTAAAACATTTCAATAGCTATAAGGGTATATTTGTCCAAGACACACATAATTAGTCCTATGAAAACATAGTTTATTTTTTGGTCCTATATGTGCAAAGTGAGTGACTTTTAGTCGTATTTGGAACTGATTCTGCTTCTGCTTCTTTTTTAAAGAAGAAGCAGCACCAGAATCACTTCTGCACTTTCACCCAAATACTGCAACTTCTTCTTATGCTCCCTGAAGGAGCAGAATCAGTTTTAAGAATCAGATCCAAACACCCGCATAATAAATTATTTTCTAAAGCAAACGGGGGAACCTTATTAATTATTAATCTTTTTGAGGGTGAAACTTTCACAATAGCAGCTTTAGTTCTTTATTTACTAACGGCTAAATAAAGATTTTAAGTTAATAACAACGAGTTTCACTTGATTTTGTTCTTTAATTATCAATGAAATAAGCGGGTAGAAAGAGAGAATTGTTCAATGAAATGGTAAAAGTGAATTTAAATTTAATTCCACCTACTAGAGCTAATCTACGAGAATAGAGTAATTAGGCGGCGGAAATGCAGATTTTTCTTATTCAGGAGGACGGATCCTCATTGGAGTATGTACATGAAGTATTTATAGACATAGAGTTACAGTAGCCTAAAGAGATAAAATAGGTACATTTAATAGGTCAAATGTTTTCGTTATTCCGCAGTTATTACTTATTACTCCTTTATGTTAACGTTTCTTCCGTTAAATCTCTGCCGCTTCCAGATACCAATGGTTGTGGGCTCCTCTCACGGGTCCGAGTGAACTTAGTCTTTTAATCCAGTATAATGAATTTCACATGAATGGCCCTTGATTGGGTCATGGTCATAGTCCATGGTACCATCAAATTTTGATTATTAATCGGATACATTTCAATATTTCATCTTTTAGGTCCCAGATTGATAAAATTCCTTGATTTGTATAAAAGTTTATTCGGGCAGATTAATAAATAAAAAATTCAAATAATCGTGAAGGAGTAGCTCAATTGAAAGAGAAACGCTAGGATACCCCATTTGTTGTACACACTATCTGTCCACGCAGACATAATAATCCATATATATATAACTTTATAGTTCCAAAAAAAAATGATTTTATATAGACAAATTGAAGAGACCTACCATTTTGAAAAAAAAGGCGACACTAATGAATTGGTCGCAGCAGACAAAGAAGAACCCATACAACCAAGCGTGGCCAATTGGGGCGGGACCCAGCGACATGAGCGTGGCCAATTGGGGCAGGACCCAGCGACATCACATGCGTCTAATATCAACTACACTCTATCTTGATCTAAAAGCCTCAACCATATTACGACTCAGTAACTATACCGTGGAACGTGTGAGCGCCATGTACTCATTGTATGTTATTTTCTCTTTTTTTAAAAATTGTAATAACTTTTTTATTTTTTATCCGATTTTTATAAAATTTATATCAACATTTTTTATTTTTCATGATCTTTCAAATGAGGCCAATATTGCCTATGTAATTTTAACATATTAACATTTGCGTTTAAAATATGTAACTTTACGTGTTAAAATATGTAATTCACGTTCAGTCAGGCCAAATGCAACTCGTGTGTATAAATATGTATCTCTACGTGTAACAATATGTAACTCGCGTTCAGACAGGTCAAATGCAACTCGTGTGTATAAATATGTAACTCGCGTATACAAATATGTAACTTTACGTGTAAAAATATGTAACTTTACGTGTAAATATATGTAAGTCGCGTTCAGGCATGTCAAATGCAACTCGTGTGTATAAATATGTAACCCGCGTGTACAAATATGTAACTTTACGTGTAAAAATATGTAACTTTACGTGTAAATATATGTAAGTCGCGTTAAGGCATGTCAAATGCAACTCGTGTGTATATATATGTAACTCGCTTATAAAAAGATGTAACTTGCTTATAAAAAGATGTAACTCGCTTATAAAAAGATGTAACTTGCTTATAAAAAGATGTAACCCGCTCATAAAAGATGTAACTCAATGTATTATCAAATGTAACTGAGGCCACTGATCCACTCCCAAACAGATTCGATCTTCTATTTCACAAACCTATCATCTCCCAAACAGATTCGATTTTCCTTATAATCCAATACTCATTAATATAATAGTTCGATAATTTCTTAAAATTACATAAGCAATATTGGTCTCATTTGAAAGATTATGAAAAATAAAAAATGTTGATATAAATTTTATAAAAATCGGATAAAAAAAAGTTATTATAATTTTTTAACAACAAAAGCAAAAAAAAGTAACCTCGGGTCCGGCCCGAGTCGGGCCTCGGTTCATTTTTTTTGGCTTTTCCTAATTAACCCCTAACCCTCCCCCCTCACCTCCAAACCACCCCAAACCACCTCAAATGGCCCATCATACCCAGCCCAACCCAAAAACTTAAAAAAAATTCAAAAAATAAATAAATAAATTGGCCCGGACCGGGCCCGAACCGGCTGGGCCAGTTCACTATTTAGCAGCTCGAGCCCGAACCGCCTACCTCACCGGGCCGGGTGGCCCGAACCGGGCACCAACTGGTTCACCGGGCCAGTCTGGGCCCGCACAGTAGTGGGCCGGTCCGGTTCCGAGCCGGTTGGCCCGGCCCAAGTCCACTCCTACGACCGCTGCAGGTTTCGAACCTTGGTCACTTGGTCCAAATTTCTCACCACTGAACCAACTGAGCTACCCGTGCGGGTGATTGTACGTCTTCCTATTGTGGCTGGCATGTGTCGGGCGTGAGCCCACTCTCCGGTGGGTGGGTGGCGCATGGAGTGGTGTCAGGTGACTGGTCGGACGTTGAAAAGTTTCAGCAGCTTGCTCCCTTAGACCGGCTAGACGAGCCAGATCCAATGGTGTGATCGGATTGAGGTTCTGAGCAAAACTTAAAGATAAATTTTCGCAGTTTGATTTTTTTTTTTTGAAAAAACAGTAAAATAGTGAGAGCTCAACTATGTTTTGATACCACTTGTTGGGAATTAAGTGATCATTTATGACCTAATATGTGGGAAAATACTTTTAATATTTTCAACAATGGATAGAATCGAAGAAACTTTACAAACTCTAACAAAAAATTCTTAGAAACACCTCATACTTTTTTTTACTCTAGGGGGTCTGGGGGAGGGGGAGGGGGCCCTAGAGTAATTAGAGCTGAAACTCACTCCATTGAGTTTCAAACCTTTATGTGTCTAGCGTGTTTCGAACTCGAGACCTTCCAATAGTCACGATAACTTCGCAACCAGCTGGGTTAAAATTCTTGGTTGTGTTTGTGATGACTAGCAATAGAAGAGCTAGCTAGGGTGATAAGGCTCTATATTTAGAGGCCAATCTCAAGTGATACAAGTTTAGGGAAGACTTCATTTATCAATAATTATTACTAACTTGTGCTTCGTATTTTTCATCACTTCTATGAACATATATTCCCTCCGTCCCAAAAACAACTTCTCATTTTCCTTAAATTGATGTCCCAAAATTAACTTCACACTTTTTCTCACTTCCTTATTTGGTAAATCATATACATCAAAACAGTGTCACACAGTGACAAACAATGCTAAACAATGTTCAAACAGTGTCAAAACAGTAAAATTTACCCCCAGTAAGTTTATTTCCTTAATATGTGTGGAAAACGAAGTGTGAAGTTGTTTTTGGGACGAAGAGAGTATAATTTTAAAAAATTAGCAGTTATGAATGCGAAGTATTCAGTTCTTAAAATGTGTATTGGCATTCTTCATCTAAACGTGCTAAAATGACCATACGTGCTCGCGGAGTCGCGGTTGATGTGTATTGGCATTCTTCATCTAAACGTACTAAAATGACCAAAGAACACATTGTAAACTTAATGTTTTAGCCATCTTTTCTTTATACAATGCATGTGATTCGTATAATATATCCATGATCTATCATGTATAGCATTTGTGTAGCTACTTGAATAAAAAATGTAGGCATGTCATTGTTTTGCATCTCTTAACACTTGCAGAACTGAAATGTATTCTCAAAGATATGATATTTTTTTAACTTTTCAGAATGTCAGGTATTCGTTTTTATCAAGTTTTATTACTATTATTTGTTTCATTTTCATATTTTGATAATCGTTTTCAGCTTCTCTCCTCCTATTTGTACCCTACCCTGCTACGTACTTTTCTTAATTTCTCTATAATACCTACAAGTAAAAGGGAGGCGGAGGGAATATGTCCTTAGGCACTTGGCATGTGTGATTCAAATGGTAATATTCATAATTCATATTAGAAAAGTGAATATGAATGAATAACCAAGAGAAAGTGGGTGCTCTAAGTTTAAGACAGAGGAGCTGAATATAGATGGAGTGAATGGAAAGAGAAATATAATGTTCCAAATTTATAGTAGCTGGTATTACAATAACAAGCCATACGATGGAACAACTTAATTAAATAATTATTAGAGTACTTGGTATTATAAATATATGGTGGGAGTGATTAACTTAGCTTGTATTTGGTTGGATGTGATTATTAATTATTACGTGCAGCTGAGAGGTTAGGGATACCATATCTAAGTGCATTTCTGGACGCACTGGGGTCGAACTTCACGCACGGGGCCAACTTCGCGACGGCAGGTTCGACCATCCGACCTCAAAACACAACCCTCCATCAAAGCGGTTTCAGCCCTTTCTCCTTGAACGTGCAGTTGAATCAGTTCAGTGACTTCCATCGCCGCTGGCCTCAGACCGTTAAACTCCACAACAACAGCGCCGTGGCCGATGTATTCTCCAGAGCTCTATACACATTCGATATCGGGCAGAATGATTTAACGGCGGGCTACTTCCTGAACATGTCAACGGATCAAGTAAGAGATTATGTTCCTGATGTAGTGGATCAGTTTTCGTCCGTGGTGAAGAGTGTGTATGATGATCAAGGGGGGAGACACTTCTGGATACACAATACGGGTCCGGTGGGGTGCCTTCCGTATGTGTTGGTAAGAGCGGAGGCGGGGGCGGAGGTCGACCAGTGGGGATGCGCGGCTGCTTTCAACGAGGTGGCAAAGTACTTCAACACCAGGCTGTGGCATGCCGTGGTCCAGCTGAGGAAGGATCTCCCGCTGGCTACCCTCACCTATGTTGATGTTTATTCTGTCATGTATCACCTCATCACTCATCCCACCCAACACGGCTTTGTGCATCCACTGGAGGCTTGTTGTGGGGGCAGGGGGATTCATAATTACAAGAGGGAAATAGGATGCGGAGGGAAGATGAGGTTAGCCGATGGAAGACAAGTGTTGGTGGGAAAAGCATGCGCAGACGCATCAAAGAGGATCAACTGGGACGGCGTGCATTACACAGAGGCTGCTAACAACTGGGTTTTCCACAAAATCGTTGACGGAGCCTATTCCCATCCTCCCACCCCCCTCACAATGGCATGCCACACCCATTAGCATAATCGATCATTACTTCTTTTCGCATCTAAATCGCAACTTTAGTTTCGGACCCTCAAAGTATTACAATCATATTATCGAATCACAAGCTGTCCTTTACATGATCCATCAAACTTTTATTTTATTTAATTGTATTGATTCATTTGTATACTCAAGTCTATATACTTTTGATGTGTTTAATTGTATTCAACCGTGCAAGAGATTTATGCAGAGGAAAGGGAAATGTGCAGAACCACAAATTATACTTCTTCCGTCCCTTAAAACTTTGCCAAATTTCCTTTTTTTGATGACCCACTAACTTTGACACCTTCCCTTTTAAGTAAAGAATTTGTGGTTCCAGTTAATTCTCTCTCCTCTGCACAAACCTCAACCACACAGTTTTTACTTTATTAATCCCCGTACCGGTCAAACTTGGCAAAGTTTTAAGGGACGAAGGTAGTATGCTTTAATAGGAAAGTGACAAAGTTTTTTGGGAAAACCGGAAAAGGAAAGTTGGCAAAGACCAATGAAACGGAGTGAGTACTATCTCCGTCCTGAAAAGCAGTTCCTACTTTCCTTTTATGGATGTCCCAAACAAATGTTCTCATTTCTATAAAAAGAAGCCATTTTTAATCAAAAAGTCACAATTACTCTTACTTTTTATCCACTTTTAGCTTGATTTGACATAAAGTAAGGGTAGACGTGTTTTTTGTTGTACTTTCTCTCTTACTTCTAGTATGAAGGATAACTGCCTGCTTTTCTCCGGCTACGGCTCAACAAGGGGGGGAAGTATCCCCTCAACAACCTAGGGGTGTCGTGCCGGCTGGGTCCCAGCGCTCCCACAACTCCAGAATAAACCCAAGGATCCCTATGGCGAATCGAATAGGTGAGCAGTGAGTCTCTGTCCATGAGAGACTCTCCTCCAGGCCCGAGCGCAGTAAGGATGCCTCCTCGGCCGATGTTTCGTCCCGTCGTTGTGGCAGGCGTGGGGGTGATCTCCGGGACGAGATCAACACGAATAGGTTGGCTCGGAGAGATCGCCAATCCCCATTGCCTGTCCTGGCAGATCATGGCGATGACGACCTCAGGAGGAGGCTAGACGAGCTCAGAAGAGAGATGGAGGGGAGAGTCGGTCTCAACTATGGTGTGAAGATCCCCGAACCTTTCACACGTCAGATTATGGACGCGCCACTACCACAAGGGTACCGGCCATGCAACATTGAAACCTACCAAGGAAGAACCGACCCCCAACACCATGTGTCCAAGTATGTAGCTTACATGGTCATGATGGGATATGATGATGCCATCAAGTGTAGAGGCCTCTCAGTGACTTTGGACTGACCCGCCCGGGAGTGGTACGATTCCCCTACCAGACAGGGGAATAAGAAAGGGAAAAAGACTCTAATAGGACTAAAACATAGGCTTTGTATGCGGATAAGACCTCTAAGTTTTTAAACCCTAAATAAGACCTATTTTTGACTGAACGGACAAAAATAACCCCAATTCCTAAATTGCAATCGCGGATTTAAAAGAAAGAGGCGGTAGGGGAGACCAGATCCCGACGAACAAAGGCACCAACAGCTCGCTTTGACCTCCACCTCCGTACAGCAGCGTCGTTCATTGCTCGAAGCTGGACTCCCTCCGCCTGGAACGCGGCACCGTCGCCCGTCGCCGGCTGCCAACCGGTGTTCACTCCTCTGCGCGGTAAGTAGTAGCTCAGGCCTCAACATCCGTCGACGAGACTTGGAAGATTTTCCAGCGGAGAATCCTTGATTTCTGCCATTAATGGAGGTTTGAAGGTCAGGACAAATACATTTAGGGGCGCGGACGATCTCCCATCGGAAGCTGGCTTGTATGCCCATCCTCGCTCCGCTGCGACCCCCATCTCCACCTGCCTTTTCTAAAAAGATATCCGTATGGTCCAAGCAAATTTGACCTTTCATGATTTGGCCACTATCTTACAGAATATCTAAAAATGTGAAAAAAATTGACAATAACAGTACCAATGTCATAATGTAAAAACCAATGGCGAATAAAATTACTATTAAAGAATCTGCTTATTGTATCTTTTATCGAGAGGACAGTACAACACATCCAGATGATGGTGTCAAACTGGCCTTATTGTATATTTTATCGAATCTGCTTCAAGGGAATCAGTCATCCATTACAATGTTATGATAGTCATTGGCTATTTCAACATTGATAATGTTATTAATAAAATGTTTTTGTTAGTTGCATTGACATTGTCATATTACAATGTCATTTTTATAGCATTGACAGTTTCATTCTTTGATATTATAATAATTTTATGACATTTTGATAGTTTCCAACATTGATTCTTTTAAAACAATATGACATAGTCACATATCTCAATGGCATTATCGAAAACAATGTTACTTCTCGACAATGTCATCACAATGTTGTTTTTGCAGCATTGAAATTGACATTGTCATTATCACAATTTCATTTTTTAAATCTTTGACATTGTCATTTTTGCAATGTCATTTTGTACAAGTGTTGATGTTGACATTGTAATTGTCATTATTTGACATTGTTTCATTTTTCCTGATATTATAATATATTATAATACATTATTACATTTAAAACGTCAAAATGATAAAAAATGTCACAATTTCGTATAGTAATGGTGTCAATGTTATAAAAATGACATTAAAATAACGACAATGTCAATGACAATGTCATTAGAATGTCAATGACAATGTCATTAGAATGTCAATGGCAATGCCATCAGAATGTTAATGACAATATCATAAGAATGTCAATCATCATTATGAAAATGAAATTGTTAAAACTAATGACATTTTTATTTTCAGCAGGTGCAACTTTTGCAAGACAAAGCCAATTCACATTCATCACTTTACACTTTATTTGCAAGACAAAGCCAATTTCGTATAGTAATGGTGTCAATGTTATAAAAATGACATTAAAATGACGACAATGTCAATGACAATGTTATCAGAATGTCAATGACAATGCCATCAGAATGTCAATGACAATGTCATAAGAATGTCAATCATCATTATGAAAATGACATTGTTAAAACTAATGACATTTTAAGCATTGCTTTTTAAGCCCTTCCTCTCATGTCGAATTTTTATAATGTTAACTTTAATATTGATGTATAAGCTACCGAATGACTGCCATTGGATGAATGGCAATTAAAAGAGATCATATGAATGTAATGTAACTATGTTAGTAGCTGCTAATATGAGTTTCATGATAGGGTTGTAACTATGTTAGTAGCTACTGTTTTTTCATTGTAGAAATAAAAAACCAGGGACATTCTTTAAAATTTAAAGTCATTGTTAGAAAATCAATATCATTGCTTAAAAATCAATGGCATTATATGACAATGTAATACATGTCATTGTTTAAAAATCAGTGTCATTATATTACAATTCTGAAAAGGAAATTAGGAAATGCTCCTTAGAAAAAAACATTACTAGGCAAAACGAAAAGGAGAAAAGTAAAAAACAAAACATTATGCAGCCAAACAAAATCAAGATGAATACGGATCCGCCAAACAAAAACAAGAAGAAAACAAATCTGTCAAACAAAACCAAGAAGAAACGGATCTGCCAAACAAAATCAAGTAGAAGACAAAGAAAAAGAATTGGAAAAGAAGAGGAGAAAAGAAAGAGAGGAGGAGAGGAGGAAAAGGAGCGGATCTGCAAGATCTTTTCCGGGGCCTCCCACCAAACCGCTGCACCGCCGGACCACTAGACGGCCGCATCGCCGGACCGCCAGACTATCGTACCGCTGCAACGCCAGATCTTTTCGATCTGTCTTGCCACATCTACAACGCCACAATAGCTCAACTCCTCCATTAATTTGTACGTCGCTGGACCTTGAAGGCTTGAAGCTGCCCTGCTTAGTTATGGATGAAGGAGAGAGAGGGTTTGGTGAGGTCGTTGGGAAGAAATAAGGTTTGGTGTGAGAGGAAAACTTAGCATAGAAAACAGGGGCAATTTTGGAAACATGGAAAATTTTAATCCTATTTAGGAGTTAAAAAAGTCAAGGTCTTATTTAATTACATACGGAAACTTAAACTCCTATTTAGCACCATTTCTCAATAAGAAACTTTCGGGAATTAGCACATGCGTTTGTGTCACGTTTTGCCACCTCTAAGGGCTCCAAGAAGAACGTTTCTTACCTCTTGGGAATCAAGCAGGGCTCCTAGGAGACCCTGGTTGACTTTCTGACCCGCTGGAGGGATGAGTCGATTAAAGTGGAGGATGTGGATGACAAATCTGTTGTAGCTATCTTGACAAATGCCCTGAAGTCGGGTGAGTTGTACAAGGACTTCATATGTAATCCCCCGACCTCACACGAGGAGGCCTTCCTGCGCGCCAGCGCACAAGCTGAGGTAGAGGAAGCCGAGAAACGAAAAAGGGATGAAGAAACCGGGAGGCCTCAAGACGGTGAGGAGAAGAAGAAGGATTTGGAGAAAGGAACCCATGACCAGGATAAGGAGAGCGGTTTCAAGAAGAAGAAAGGCTGGAGTAAGGGTAAATCAAGTGTCCCGGAAGGCCCATTATCTAGTCAGCCTGAATTCCCGGTTAACGCGGTCTTGGATTACGCAACAAAGCAGGGATTGATCACGGTCCCTGAGGGTTGTAACATCATCAACGGTCAACCCTCCAAGGGTAAGTATTGCAAAATTCACAAAAGTGAGACTCATGAGACCGACGAATGTTACATGTTGAAGAAATATGTAAAGAAGCTCGCCCGCAAAGGACAACTGGACAGGTTTGTGTAGGAAAGCCTTCAAGAGCAACACCCGCCAAGGAAAAACACTTGGAACAGGGCAAAAGACGAGCCGGACTCTGCCTCCAAAAAGAGAGAAGTCGGAGCCCAGTTCGAAGAAGATGAGGAAGGTGAGGATTAAGGGCGACAGAAGCGCACGCATATCCACCAGATTTATGGCGGACCTGTCGGGGGGACTCTGCAGGAGAGAGGAAGAAATGGAATTGACGGATGTTCGTTGGGGAGATTAATTGTCTCCCTGCGGAGAAAGAGCCGAAGCGGGAATCCATCACCTTTACAGACGATGATCTCCCCCGTGTCCCCCACCTCACAGGGATGCTTTGGTGGTTAAGATGGAGGTTATGGACGCAATTGTCCATAGAGTTCTCGTGGACAGCGGAAGTTCAGTCAACATACTACATATGGATACCCTTGTGGA